GTCAGGGCAGCATCAGAAGGAAATTGTGGGCAGCAGTTTGCGGCCTGAGCGGAGTCCAGGCGGGACGATGCGGTGTGACCAGCAGCGGGCGGAACCCGGCAACGAGAATAGTACACGCTTGGCCTCACACGGGTCAGCCGGCCCGGATGTTCTCCCTGGCCTGCTGGTGACGCGGAGGCAGCCGAGAGATGTCCGGGTGCATTTTCATTCAGTTATTCGTTCCAGTTGTGCCTCCGATGGTCTCCAGGCAGAGGGGGATAATGCTGCTTCGCCTCCCAGGAATTCTGAGACTCTTTCAGCTTTTAGAGATTTTATGTGTGTTCATTTTTGAAGCTTCACCGTATTTTAAACCTCTTCTGTGGTGATGTGCCTCTTGGAGCTAAGGATGTCGTTTTGAGAATGCCAGCTTTGCTATATAGACAGTAAAATAGTTGTAAACTCAAATCCTAAACTACTGGTCAGAGTGCTAAGTAGGCAGCTTCCCTATGCACACTCCGTCCGCCACTTGGAAGGCTCCGCACCTGTGAAAATCACATTGACTTTGAAGTGCCAGTTCTGATGGGGGAAGCCGCCCTCCAAGACCAGAGGATGTTCTCACCCGGATGAGCCAGGCAGCACTGCAAGGAATTACAGATGACATCACCATCAACAAGACAGAATCACAAGGCCTTAGGCAAACGCCCCGGTTTCTAATAAAATCGGATTTAACATGGTTTATGACGATTCTTTGTTTTCTGTCATTCACATAATTGGAAAAGTGAAACAGAGGCCACGGATCCGATGGAGGGTTTTAGACAACCAAGAGTCTGATTGGCCATATCGGATGACTGCTGTAAGCAGGGCAGACAGCTGCTCCCACGCAGGCTCCGTCAATTGCATTACATTATAATAGAGGCTCAACCTCAGTCCGTGGCTAAGGGTGGTCAGACTTGCACCGTGGGGGGAAATACCAGCAAACAACATGCATCTCCAGCTACAGCACTAAAAGCTGGGGTCTCGGCACACCGCCTTCCAGCAGCTCAGCCCTGAGGAGGCACTGGCCAGCCCATGACCTTCAAAACCCAGAAGCAAAGGGTGTCACGTTGTTCAGGGATCTGTGCATGGATTGAATTCATGTTTTCCGGAATACAGGTCCATTTTCAAAGGTTCTCTGCCCTGATACTGTTCAAAAGAGTCTACCTCGGGCTTTCTAGATGATTCCGAAGGCCCATTCCCCAAATGCGCTGAGTATGGCGAGCATGGCTGTGCTCTTGTCCATGTTGAGATCTCCGACGCATCGCTTTGTGCCCAACATTTTATCTCGTTTTAGGGAAAAGAGCCAAAGGCAGCCTTAGGCCTCTTTAAGCCAGCGTTTGCCAAGCCATAGATTACAAACCGCTGGAATAGAAATTATCAGAGCTTATCATAAGAGTAAGAAAAGGGTAGCATTGTCATGAGACACAGGAGTGTGTTGAATTCTTGCCTGTGGGCTTTTCTTCTTTTTTTTAATGGACAAATGGGAAGGCCCACAATTTTGAAAAATTCCATCTACAGCGTCCCAGAATCGGGAGCCCATGAATGTGATTTCCTTCACTAGATGGCGCCCCTTTGTTTTTATACTAGTGCTGCTTTGATTAAAGTGGGTTCCTCCTCGGAGAGGAGAGGCCTGGTCACCGGAAGTCCTCTATGAATGTGAAAGCCGTGTGTTCGTGATGCCTGATGACAACACTGTGGGAAACACCCACAAGGGCTCTGCAGCTCCTCTGTGAAAGAGAGTCTGCGAGCTCCTAAACGCTGCTACGTCCGCCACGTGGAAGACTGTCCCCTGATGAGCTGGCCACTTCGCCCCTGTCTGTAGCAGCTGTGCGCTGTCACGGACTTCCCTTATGAGTTAGCTCCAGCACTTTCACGGGTTTGAAGCATAACAGTGTGGAAAAATTTGACTTTTCAGCACCTTGTTTAGGCTAATGGATGATGTTTAGACCCATGGCACAGGTAGCCAATGAGAATTGCTGCTTCTGCTGTTTCTGTAAAGAAGGGTGATTTAAATAAAATCAGAGCTCACAAATAATTATCAGAGACATATATTTTAGCCAGATATGACGATTGGGCTATATATCAGTGTCATTTCAGGACTGAGTCTTTATAGTCAATTTGCAATCTGATAGTTATAAATCATAAGAGTAAGAAAAGGGTAGCATTGTCATGAGACACAGGAGTGTGTTGAATTCTTGCCTGTGGGCTTTTCTTCTTTTTTTTAATGGACAAATGGGAAGGCCCACAATTTTGAAAAATTCCATCTACAGCGTCCCAGAATCGGGAGCCCATGAATGTGATTTCCTTCACTAGATGGCGCCCCTTTGTTTTTATACTAGTGCTGCTTTGATTAAAGTGGGTTCCTCCTCGGAGAGGAGAGGCCTGGTCATCGGAAGTCCTCTGTGAATGTGAAAGCCGTGTGTTCGTGATGCCTGATGACAACACTGTGGGAAACACCCACAAGGGCTCTGCAGCTCCTCTGTGAAAGAGAGTCTGCGAGCTCCTAAACGCTGCTACGTCCGCCATGTGGAAGACTGTCCCCTGATGAGCTGGCCACTTCGCCCCTGTCTGTAGCAGCTGTGCGCTGTCACGGACTTCCCTTATGAGGTAGCTCCAGCACTTTCACGGGTTTGAAGCACAACAGTGTAGAAAAGTTTGACTTTTCAGCACCTTGTTTCGGCTAATGGATGATGTTTAGACCCATGGCACAGGTAGCCAATGAGAATTGCTGCTTCTGCTGTTTCTGTAAAGAAGGGTGATTTAAATAAAATCAGAGCTCACAGATAATTATCAGAGACATATATTTTAGCCTTTATAGTCAATTTGCAATCTGATAGTTATAAAATGAGGCTAGGTAGCTCTGGCCAGGTAGCTAGACCATCGTTCCAATACACCAAGGTTGTGGGTTTGATCCGGGGTCAGGGCACATCCAAGAAGCTACCAGTGAATGTATAAATAAGTGAAACAACAAATCAATGTTTCTCTCTCCTTCCTTCTCCCTCTCCCTCCTTTCCCTCCTTCTACTCCTTCCTCCCCTCTCTTTCAAAGAAATAAATGAAATTTTAAATGAGACTATATAATTGATAAGCATATTGCAACTCATGGTGGGGTTTTATATGTCTGCCTGGAAAATGCTGGCTTATTCTTTAGGACCCGTGAAGGGTCTCTCGTCTGAAACATTCCTCTATGCTCAGACCCTAATTTCTTCAGGCCTCTTTTCTGTTAATCACGCTTGACTATCATCTTTTTGCATGGTTTTCTCCCCCATGAGACTGTGACAGACTTAAAAAGAGATACTCCTTTGTAATCCCCATGTCTAGGGAGAAATCTGTATTAAAGTAGATGATTGATGAATTAGTAAAGAATGAAATCCTTTTATCTTGTTCACATCCCTCGTACGTTTGTTAGGACTATGTCAGTACTAATTATTTCTGAAGTTGTTTGGGGAGGTAACAGTGGCAGTGGCTAGGGACTGAGTGAATACTTTGTGCTTGTTGTTCAACGTCTCGAGTGTGTCTAAAACCTCTGAAATCTTTTGCTTTCTTCACTAGGAAGTCCAACGCTGTACGGCTGACATGAACATCACCGCAGAACATTCCAATCATCCAGATAACAAGCACAAAAACAGATACATCAACATTTTAGCATGTGAGTAATCAACTCCGAGCTCTTTTCACCTGCGAGGAGATTAGATCTTCATGCGGGGTGTAAGCTGAAAGCCAAGCGGTCAGAATCAGGGTGCCAACAAAGAGCTACCCTTGCAAGTTACCTGTCACTCACCCATCTTCCACAGTACCCAGGAAGAAATGGGGACATTTGCTGCCCCCTCCGTCTTTCATTAAGCTGTAGGATCTCTTTGATTAATCTTAATAATAAGATGATTAAAAGAAAATGTTCTGAACGTCACTGTTTTCACATGTGATTCCATATGTGAAACCAAAAAATTTTAATGTCATGTGGCTATCTTGACATTGTTTTAACCAGCGAGAGCCAAATCTTTTAATACAAATAGAAATTCTGAAATTGAATCAAGTAAATTGACTTTCAAAGCCATCTTTCTGAGACTAGGTAATTGGTCTCTGCCCTAAGTAATGAGCCTCCAGTCCTTGTGGCCCACGTGTTTAGTCCTAGCCAACATATTTCCAGGGTCAAGAGTATCCTGTAGATCCCAGACTCAAATAAGTGTTATTCTTTTTTAAAAAATATATTTTTTATTGATTTCAGAAAGGAAGGGAGAGGGAGATAGAAACATCAATGCTCAGAGAGAATCATTCATCAGCTGCCTCTCGCATGCCCCCCACTGGAGATCAAGCCTGCAATCTGGGCATGTGCCCTTGACTGGAATCGAACCTGAGACCCTTCAATCCGCAGGCCGACACTCTATCCACTGAGCCAAACCGGCCAGGACAAATAAGCGTTACTCTTATGGAGCCCATGAATACCATAGCAGCACAGGCCGCTTCTGTGGCTTGATTGCCACTTTTCGTAGATACCCGTGCTTGGGTCACTGGCAGATAATATATCAGTGCTATTAGTGCAGGTGCACAGGTGTTTATGGTTAACATACATGATGGTAAGGAACACATTACAGAGTTTTATGTAATAGTGCATGTAAACTGGACCACTTAAATTTGAACAGTGCTGGAGTCTGTAATACTTCAGTGAGATATAATTCACATACCATTAAATTCACCCATTTAGAGCTAGTTTACATTCCACTGCTTTTTAGTGGAGTCAGAGTTGTACGACCACCACCACTATCTAGCTATAGAACATTCTTAGGAACAAGAAACCCCATTACCCAGCCACGCCCAGTTCATCCCTCTAAACTCCCTAGAAACCACTTACCTACTTTCTGTCTCCATGGGTTGCCTATGTTGACATTTTATATAAATGCAATCAGACAACATGTGGCCCTTTGTGTCTGGCTTCTTCTACATAGCATGATGTGCTCAAGATTTATCCATGTTGTAGCTGTATCAGTATTTAAGTCCTTATAAATAATACCCTGTGCTATAGCTATACCATGTTTTGCTTACTCATTTATCATTTAATGGACATTTGTATTATTTCAACTTTTTTATTATGAATAATGCTGCTACAAACATTTATATATATGGTTTTCCGTAGACATCTATCTTTAATTCTCTTGGGATTATACTTAGGAATGCAATAGCCAGGTCATGTGGTAAGTTTATATTTAAAATGTTGAAGAACTCCCAAACTGTTTTTTAAAGTGGCTGCACGACTTTACCTTCCAGCCAGCAATATATTAGGGTTCCAGTGTTTCCACATTCTCATCAACACTTGTTACTTTTTTTTTTATAAGAGCCATCCTAATGCATATGAAGCGGTATCTCACCGTGGTTCAGACTTCCATTTCCCTAGTGATTAGTGATGTTGACCATCTTTTCATGTACTTATTGGCCATTTGTATATTTTCTTTGGAGAAATATCTATTCACATTCTTTGTCCATTTTTTAAATGGATTACTTACCCTTTTTTTTCTAGTTTGAGTTCTTTAGACATTCTGGATACAAATCCCTGATCGGACAGATTTGCAAGCATTTCCTCTCATTCTGTGCATTCCCTTCTCACTTTCTCAATGGCGTCCTCCTTCGATGCACATACAAGAGTGTCCCAGAAAAATGTATACGCACTGTAACAGCTGATAGCTCAGTTTTGAGAATGAAATGTATTTTAATAAACACTGCCTTTATAATTATTTAAAGGGTGTGTATACATTTATGGGTCACCCGATTTTTTTTTAATTATGGAGAAATCCTATGTATGTTTTTTATTTTGTTGCCTATGCTTTTCGTGGCATACCTAAGAAATCATTGCCTAATCCACGGTCATGATATGGTTTTCGCTTCTATATTTAGTCTTTGATCAATTTTAAATTAATATTTGTATATGGTGTGAGGTAGGGGTCAACTTCATTCTTTGTATATTGATATCCAGTTGTCCCAGTACTCTTCCCCATTGAATTGCCTTAGGACCTTTAATTGAAAATTAACTGACCATAGGTATAAGGGTTTATTTCTGGACTCTCAATTCTATACCAGTAATGTCTATCCTTATATCAGTACTACATTGTCTTGATTACTGACTATAGGTTTGTAATAAGCTTTGAGGTTGGGGAACTGTGAGCCTTCCAACTTTGTTCTTCTTCAAGATTTTTTTCCCGGCTAATCTGGGTCCCTTGTGTTTCCACATGAATTAGCTAAAGGATCAGCTTGTTTATTACCATAAGAAAAAGCATAGCTGGGATTTTGATATGGATTGCATCAAATCTGTAGATTAATTTGGGAAGCACTGCCATCATCTTAACAATACTCTTTCAATTCATTAAGATGGGATGTCTTTCCATTTACTTAGGTCATCTTTTATTTCTTTCAACAAATGTTTTATAGTCTGCATTTTAAAGGTGTTACATTTTTATGCAATATATTGCTGGGTATTTTATTCTTTTTAATGCTATTTTAAATGGAATTGTCTACTTAATTTTATGTTCAGATTGTTCACTGAATGTATAGAAATACAGTTGATTTTTGTATGTTTATATGGTGTCTTACAGCCGTGGCTGAACTAATTTATTAGGTCTAATAGTTATTTTTGTGTTATTTTTGTGGATTTCTTAGCATTTCTAAATACAATATTGTGTCATCTATGAATGTAGTTTTACTTCTTCCTCTAGATAAAGTTTTAAAAGAGCCACAAGTCATTTTTTGATAAAGAGTATCTGTTTCAGTTATCTGAGAGAATGAGTCAGGTAAACAAGAGAACAAGGAAGAAGAATCAAACTTTTCTTTTCTCTCCATCTGTGAGTGAATTGACTCTGGTAGTATTTGTTGGCCAATCCAGTCAAGGCTCACTGTGCTGAGATTGTGAGGATTTGTAGCTCATTTCTAACCATATGACTTAAGGCAGTGATCTCTGCATAGATGTGGCTGGCACATGTCCATACATACCTCTCTCTCCACCACAGCAATCTTTACTTCTAGTGACCTCACTGTCTTGGCTAAACATGTGGCAAAGCAAAGGGAGGAAATCAAAGCAGCTTCTGTGTGACGTGACCAAGGGTCCTGGTTTTGCTGGAAAACCACCATCTCCACTTAGATGTGGTTATACTTTCTCAGGTTCATTGTGACTGTATTTGCACAAATTCAAATCACATGCGGGTCCGTTGTTGTGAGTTCGGAGAGTTGGGTCGTGGTGTTCTCCTGGCCATTTGGCCAGGTTCTGGGCATATCACTCATCACCTTGGTCCACCCCTATATTAACACCTATGCATAGCAGAGAGTAGCATGGAAATGTCATGGAACAAGTAAAATGTGTCCTTGAACATGCCAGAAAAACACCTTTCTCACAAAGCATCACAACTTTTAAGTTATATGTGGATGCCAGCACGCCAACTCCGGCATTGTTCTGTTTAGCCATTCTATTACCTTATTAATTAAATGTGAAATTGCAACTTGAAGGATGTTTTTTATTTGTCCCTCTGAGAAATAATTGACAACATAATGCTAAGAACGCAGAACAGTTTGTATCCAGGTGCCTTATTGAAATGTTTCATTCAGGGTCTATTTCCATGAGGCAGTCCTGCCCATGTCAACTATAGTCTGAGTTTGTCAGAACAAGCAATTCACGGTTCCAGAAGGTAGGCGGCTTTCAAAAGGTGCTTGATACAGTCAGTCGTGTCTGGGCTCACCGTTCATTGGGCTTCTTTTTGAACTAGCCTTGGGTGGCCATGACTATACACAGAAGTGTGAACTGGCTTGTGCCCATTTCTAGCTAGGGAAAATAAAATTATGACCTCAGCTTTATTTTATTTAGTTTGTTATCCTAGAAACACAAGCTCACTCTGTTGGGCAACTAGAGGCACATAGCATCACCCCTTTTGGTCACAGCTAAAGTTAAGTGGATCGCCGAAACCGGTTTGGCTCAGTGGATAGAGCGTAGGCATGCGGACTGAAAGGTCCCAGGTTCGATTCTGGTCAACGCAGCATCATCCCCTTTTGGTCACAGCTAAAGTTAAGTGGATCCTGAAATCTGGTCACTGACTCAGAGCCATGCAAGGACAGTACCCTTACAGGCAGCTGTAGCTCCCTCAGTGTTGAAAGCTCTGTTAGGCTGGCAGGGACTCCGGAATAATTTAGCAGTGAAACCGCTGAAAATAGATGCTGTGGACTTGCTAGAACAAAAAATTACTGTATACCAAAATGTTACAAAGACAATCTTCTGTACAATAAGAGACTTTTTCCAGTTTTAAAATAACCGCATTTTGATACCATGCTTAACAATTAAATAATTCAACAGTACCTGAGAACTATTAAAAATTAGAACTATTAAAAATTAATAGTGGATTCATCAAAATCAAAAGCATTCCTAAGAACATTCTTTTAAAACAGATCATTTCTAGGCGTGCCTGTAGTCTGAGCCATGCATTTCCCAAAAACTTTGTTGTTTCCTAACAATCACTGTTTTAATATCTGTAGTGATGGGGAGTGGAGAAGGGCATGGGCTAGTCAAAGGCCTTGGACTTTGGTTTTCAAGTGCAGGAGAAGGAAATGTTGGGGGGTCGCAACTTGCAGTGGTTTTAGATGGACCAATGAGGACCTCTGTCTGCATTTTGGGGCACTCACAGGTCAGAGCATGAGGCTGTTTTTTACATGAGGTTCAGATGCTGGGTCTTTTAATTTCTGTTCTTCTGATGAGATGCCAGGGGTCTTCTGGGAGATGCCACATGACCTCTTGGCCTGTTTTGTGCTTCGGAATGCTGCTACTTTCTGAATTGTACATTTTGGTCTGCTGTTCTGTTTTCTTCTCCACAGATGATCACAGCAGGGTGAAGTTAAGACCTCTACCAGGAAAAGACTCTAAGCACAGCGACTACATTAATGCAAACTATGTCGATGTAAGTCAGACTGTTTTTGCACACCTGTTTCTGACCATTGGCGAGGGCCGCGGGGAGGTTCCGATGTGTTGTAATGCTGCACAGAGCTCTCACCAGAAACACAGCCTGTCCTGCGTGACCGGCACTTGAGTTATTAACTGCTCTGTGACACTGCTTCCCTCTGACTTTGTGCTGTGTCGTCTTTGAAGGGTTATAACAAAGCAAAAGCCTACATCGCCACCCAGGGACCTCTAAAGTCTACATTTGAAGATTTCTGGAGGATGATTTGGGAACAAAACACTGGAATCATCATCATGATTACAAACCTTGTGGAAAAGGGAAGAGTAAGAGCCTCTTAATCATATATCCTTGTTCAAAAAACATATTTATGGAGCACCTGCTGGGTGGGGAGAAGGATTAGGGGGGAGGGCTTGACCAGGCGCGGAGTTAGAGGAATGAGGAGCGTCCCTGCCCTCGCCTGGCCATGCTTGTGCGGAGTGAGCGTGCACTGGTGGGCGTGGGTCACCTGTGGTGCGGAGAGGAGCAGGTATTGGGGCGATGCTGGAAGTAGACGGCTCTGTCTGCTCACACGGCCATTTTGAAGTGAGATTTGAACAGTGAGTGAGGAGGAGAGTTGCACGGGCTGAAAAGGACAGGAGGGGCGTCCACATGTCGGGGTAGAGAGAACAGAAGCAGGGGAGTTGGAAGAAACAGTGTAGCCAGAGAACGAGTAACAGTTCCGACGGGGAGGTGAAGAGACCGCCTTAACACCCGGGCCAGCATTAAAGGACCTTTTTGAAAGATGGTGGTCAGTGTTTTAGCTGTTAGATGATGAACTTAGAACCGATGACGTTGATTTGGGCTGGAATGAGGCAAGGTTGCAGGCTTGGTGCTCGAATCACTGCAGCTTCCCTTGGGCGGCTGGAGTCCCCGTTTTGCCTTTGGCAGCCCCAGCTGTGAGTGCGGCCTTGCCTTCCTCCCGCTCCCATTATAACAGGTTCCACCCCACATTTCTCACGGCTGCAACATACAGGTCTCTTCTTAAGCCCGCGTGGTAGTAGATCATGTGTTGAAAGATGATCGTGAGTACGGGGCTCATGTCTCTAATGATCTTGCCGGCCTGTGGCTTGCAGCCCGTGAGCTCCTTTTCTGTCGGCTACATGCGATACTACCTGCGCTTTAACACTGTCTCTTGAAGTTACGTTATCAACAGTACAATTGTGGCACAAATTGCATTTGCCATTTACAACTTTTTTTTTTTTGCAGCGAAAATGTGATCAGTATTGGCCGACAGAGAACAGTGAGGAGTATGGAAACATTATTGTCACACTGAAGAGCACAAAAGTCCACGCCTGCTACACTGTCCGTCGTTTCTCAGTCAGAAACGCAAAAGTGAAGAAGGTATCAAGGCCAGGGGGCGGGCGCGCAGGGCGGCTCCCTTTAAACTTGCATGGAAATGACTGCACAACCAAGGCCAGTTCTCATAACCAGCTTGGGTTTTTGCAAGTATTTTAAAACATTTTCCACAGCTCTTTGATTGTCATCACTGTGTTGTGTGAAAAATGTTGGCAAAGTACAGAATAGGGTTTAACTGATTGGGTTCTTTAACCTCTTTATGAAGAAGGCTTCATTTTAGAAAAGGTCCTCTTAGGCTTTGGTACATGGCAGATATGTCAGCATCTGTGTTGAGTTAGCTTTTGTTTTGTTTTTGTTGTTAATCCTCACCAGAGGGAGTGGAAGGGAGGGGGAGAGATAGAGAGAAAGAAACATCGATGTGCGAGAGACACATCTATCGGTTGCCTTCCACACCTGCCCCACCAGGGCTGGGGACTGAGCCTGCAACTGGCACATGCCCTTGACCGGAATCAAACCCGGGATCCTTCAGTCTGTGGCTGACACTCCAGCCACTGAGCCAATCTGGTCAGGGCTTGCGTTAGCTTTTTAATTCCAATTTTCTGACAGCTTTTAAGGAACGCTAAGCCTACAGGATGCTACTTACGGAAAACTAAAGGCTACATAATCCACATCCCCCTTAGAAAGGTGCAGTGACACGCATGGTCAGAGGGCTGGAGTGAAGAAACCCGCTTCACTTTGCTTTGCCCCGTGGAGTTTGGGAAAGAGGAACAGTTAGCCTGAAAGCAGCCCTTCCACAGGGTGTGAGTCTCGGGCTGTTCACACTCCATGGTCCCTGCGCGACTCAGATGAGGACAGCAGCACTGGGTCCTCTGCACCGATGCCCCTTGAGGATGTGGACTGGTTACTCTGCGGAGACTTGGAGTATTGGCTGTTCGTAGCAGTGGGTCTTGACCGATTTTTTTTTCTTTGAGTCTTGGACATCTTTGAGAATGTGATAAAGCTGTAGCCCCCTTACTCCAGAAGAATTCATTTACTCAAATTATTTTATACAATTTCAGTTGCTCTGAGGACCATCTGGGGTCCAAGGCTATTGACTCCTTTCTTTCTTTAGTTTTTCCCCCAGAATGGCAGAAGCATATAAATGTCAGTATCTATGTTCTCTCTAATAGAACTGAGCTGGTGCAAGCCAGCAATCAATTCATACTTGCAACGCCCATTACTCAGGGAAGCCCTTAAGGTTTTTAAACATGGCCCACTTACTCTTAATTTTAGAAACAGCTTAAGTCAGGGGAGGAAGTACATCAGAACCTTAGATGTTTTGCACACTGATAAGAGGGTAAAGTCGTAATTGAAAATGAGAAAGAAACAGGAAGATGAGAGTCCACAGAAGAATTATGAAACCAGAGCCATGGGGGCCTTATAGCACAGGCCCAAGCACCACAGGCCGCAGTGCTGACTTGGTAATGACCGAGCCAGCAGACCTTTCTGTTTTGTTTGTTTTTTCATTTTTAGAAGAGGTATATAAGAAAAGCGGTATCATAGTAAGTGATCTGTTTGGGGAAATTTTTCATCTAAAGTAGTTAAAATGTAAAAAGTTCAGCCACTTAAAGGAAAAGGACTCTGAAAAATTCACTTATAAAAGTGATAAATGTATAGAGATTGAGATTCAGTTGTCACTCAGGGTCCGCCTGCACTTGGGCTCCTGAAGATCTCCTAGGCGTGGGGGGGGGCGGGGGGCGTTCCTGGCCACAGTCAGCGGAAAGCAAGGCACGGAGGCCTCTGGAGGCGGGGCAGGAAGTCAGGAATGAGGCCTGCAGGCAAATTACAAAGTGCTTTGTATGGTTCCAGGTCCAAAAACCGCATTTTAGACATTCATTCTTGGTATCATCCTAAACCATTCTTTCTTAAGCCATTCTTCCTTCTAAGCGATGTCTGGTACTTCTCATCCAGCTGGGAAAATGCCTCCTTTTACGGCATGAGATGCCACAGAGCGGAAATAACCTGACCTGGAGCAGCAGTGGGGGCGCACGAGGCCAGGGGTGCTGTTACCCGAATGCTCACACTCAGTGTAAAGCTGTCCATGTTCGCCTTTCTCTAGGGTCAGAAGGGGAACCCCAAGGGCCGTCAGAACGAGCGGGTGGTGATCCAGTACCACTACACACAGTGGCCTGACATGGGCGTCCCCGAGTACGCCCTCCCCGTCCTGACCTTCGTGCGGAGGTCCTCGGCCGCCCGCACGCCGGAGATGGGCCCGGTGCTGGTGCACTGCAGGTAGGCCTGGCTTCCCTCCCGCCTGGGTTCCTGCCAAGTGGGCGGAGCAGGGGTGTGGGGCCGACTGGGGGTCTGGACCGCGGTGGTCCTGCTGCTCTTTGGTTTAGAACTGAGTCTTCGTTGGAGACTGGGACCAGTAAGACCTGTTACATGAAACCACCATATTCCCACGATATTAAGAAAGCATCTGCTGCTTTTAAGGTTAAAACAAAACCTACTCTTTACCCTCTAATTTTTATAACATTATTGTATTAATAAAATCTCCATTATGTATCGGGAAGCTGCAGGCTGCTCATATGTAAAAATCTGACCGGAAACACCACTTGACAGCTTCCCACACTAGAGATTTTGAGTTTCTGTAAATGGCTTTTCTAGTGGGTTCCATGAAATAATAATAATCATAGTGTATGAAAGGGTTATATTTTCAAAACTTCAGTTTACACGTGCTTTATAAACTTCTAAAAAGCACTGGGAAAGCCTTCTGGAAGCCCACTCTCTCTGCAGTACCTTAAACGGCCTTGGTTGGTTGTTTAAAAAGTGCTCTGACTGAGTTTTGTTTGTAATTGTAATCTTGGCCTTTTTTTCACTTTGGTATTCAAGTGGATGTTGCTTACGCTGTGATTTATATTCATAGCTGCACAGCATTTTCTCAGCACTTGTTTGGGCTGTTCTTATGCTATACAAGGTCCTTTGCAGAAGTTGGAACCCATCTTCTGTTTAAGATCCCAGAGAACTCTGCATGTTTGCTAGCCCAGTTAGGAATCACTAAAATAGAGATGAATGGCTATCGGAGGGTTTGGGGATCGCACACCGGTGTGAGATGGGGACCTGCCGGGGGTGGGGGCGGTGGTTCTGCCTAAAGAAGCTTGTTACTCAGTACACAGAGCTCAGTACACAAGCACTTTTATTTAATAAAAAAAAAATGTGAAGAAGAGGCCAGGTTCTCCAGATGTGACATTCGTATTCTATACCTGGTATATTAAAGGAAAGCACCCTTTGAATAGGAGCTTTCTAATACTGAGCAGATGGGAGTTGCGGGGAGCGTTGGGCAGAAAGGGGGTTTACTGAAATGACAGTGGGCACCCCCAGAATAACGGGAGCGTTGGGGAACCAGGCACAGGCCAAATCAGCAAGGGACACTCCCCCGTCCTGCTGCAGCAGCTGTGGAGGTGGCTGCAGCGCCTGTGGAAGGAAGCCAGGCTGTGCTCCCCATCGAGACTCAGGAAGTGGGACCTGTGCTGAGAAACTGTTTGGATGCCATCCAGGATGAATAACGTCTCTAAACAGGGTGATTCTATGCTCATTAGCACTTAAGATGGTAATCGTTCCAGTCGCAGTTCATGACATGAGAAAGCAAGAGGTCCTACTGAGTGTCCTCCTGTCTTGCAGCGCTGGCGTGGGCAGGACAGGCACCTACATAGTGATCGACAGCATGCTGCAGCAGATCAAAGACAAAAGCACAGTGAACGTCCTGGGCTTCCTGAAGCACATCAGGACACAGCGCAACTACCTCGTCCAGACGGAGGTAAGCGGCTGCCGGGGCTCCGGGCGGTGAATGGCATCGAGGCGACAGATTCATTCTCTCAGGGCCTGGAAGAATTCACTGGTTGGTATTAGAAGGGATCCTGGCTGGGATACCATTCTTTGGCTCCCAGTTTTCCATTTCTGTGTGGATCTTAAATTTGGAATCCTCAGCAACTACACAAGCACTTATGTAGCCAATACAGTTGGCTCTAGGGCTGTGGAGAGTGAAAATATATATGTATAGTATGTGAAAGAATGGTTCTAAAGTCCTTCTTTGAACTCCCATTTCTCCATCGCATGCTACATTGAACCTATGGTTTGGGCCAGTGGTACTCAACCTTCCTAATGCCACGACCCTTTAATACAGTTCCTCACGTTGTGGTGACCCCCAACCATAAAATTATTTTCGTTGCTACTTCATAACTGTAATTTTGCTACTGTTATGAATCGTAATGTAAATATCTGATATGCAGGATGTATTTTCATTGTTCGCGACCCAAAGGTTGAGAACCGCTGGTTTGGGGCATGGTAGGGAATATAGAACTACACTCAGCACAGTCTCTACCATAAACTAAGTTACAATGGATAAGCAAGTAAGTATGGGGGCAACCCAGATAGGGGTAATGCTTGAAGAAATCCACGGGGAGGTCCCTGCTACGGGAAGAGCTCATCCAAGGTCGATTTTAGGGATGGGGTAGAAGTGACCACCCCTTAGCGGCCCTGCTCAGTGACTGCCATACATTATGCTGTTAGGAGCAGTACATTTTCATCCACGATGCCTTGTTGGAAGCCATTCTTGGAAAAGAGACCGAAGTATCTTCAAATCAACTGCATAGCTATGTGAACAGCATCCTCATACCAGGAGTAGGAGGAAAGACACGACTGGAAAAACAGTTCAAGGTAGCGTTTTCCTACATTTCTTTGGTGAAAAAGCAAGGAATTAAGAAATGCCACGAGTTTGGGGTCATGTCTTCTTTTGCATGAACATGCAGACTGAAATGGATTACTGTTTATACTCCTCAAGTGTAATGCAAAGAAATACAGAGTTCGACCTCTGTCTGCATTGTTGGAGCCCAAGTAGAGAGTGCGGGGCTGCATTTTCTTCCGACCAATTTACAACTAGATCTGAACGTGGGCACCAGCCCCTGACCACAATGACATAATGCTTTGAAGTCAGTCCCCACTGTCTGAAAAATACCCTCCCCTATCTTATCCTTATCCTTATAGTTATTGAAGACCATCCTAGCAGATAATTTAGAAACTAGGAAAGAGCTCCTAAAGAATACTAGACAAAAGGTAACTTTTCCTAAACGGTTGTTTTGATAGGGGCATGACATTTAAAAGCAGTTAAGGTTTATATGGAATGGAGGAAAGGTGGAAAAAGAGACTGTAAGGGTGGTTAACATAATTAAGACCAGAAAAGCTGTTAACTCAAAGGAGTTATTATAACTTGCTCTAATCTCTAAGTGCTTTTCTATTTCCTAGTCTCTCAGTCTTTTAAATTCTCTTTTTTTGCATTGTTCCACGTGTAAATTCTCATTTGTATCAAGGTGGGAAGAATGAGATGAGTCTGTACAGTTTTGGTTTTCATGGTAAAACTTTCCATGGACTCTGAAACCTTCATTTGCCTCTCCCCTGAAGAAATGAGACAGCCAAGCAAATTAGAGCAAGTGATGTGAAGTGAGGAAGATTAATTTCAGAGTTCAGTCATGACAATTTCATGTTTATAGCTCTCCTTCCATAACATCCAAAGTACTCTAAAAAAAATTTGAGGTAATTAGTGTCTCATTTTATATGTTTAAAATGAATTCCTGTAAAATAATTAAGTACCAACATTTTTTAAAGGCTGCCTTTCCTATTTCTGTAGTATTTTACATGTACTTTTTATTTTTTGAAAACCATATTTCTGGCAAAGGACTTATGTCCGAAATGTACAAAGAGCTCTCACAACTCAATCAAAAATGGGAAAAAGTTTTGAATACACATTTTATCAAAGAAAATATACAAATGACCAATAAGCACATGAAAAGATACTCTACATCATTCATCTTTAGGGAAATGGAAACCATTTCATACCTATTACAATGTTGGTGCAGTACATGTACTTTTTAAAAAATTCATCAAAGAAATCAGTTCATTCCATTGGGAACCAGGTAATTGGACCTTTTACAGACACTAACCTCTTTAGAATTTGAAGGGGAAAAAATAATCAAACTTAACGACATCCAGGGCCTTTGACATTAGTATTTAGAGGAGGCCATTCCCATGTATTCTATTAACATGAACCAGAATATAGATATCCAGGATTGACAAAGTGGTTCAACCAACTTATAAAAACAGGAAGAGTAACCAAACTACTGGGCTAATTATTTGTAACAGCCTTACAAAAATGTCAGTTCAGTTCAACAAAAATTTACTGAGAACTGAGTCAATTCTTTGAGAAGTCGATTAGCGCTTTTTAGCAGAGCCCTTATGCCTAAAGGATTCCAAGAAAAAGGTTCACAAAACCGATGACATCAACAGGAAGAATCCACATTCATTCAGGAAATATCTATTACCTAGTACCTATCACAAAGGAGCCAAACCCCTGGTAGAAGAAGTAAGACAAGCATAGAGACAACCAAGGTAACAGAGAAATACCACTTGTGAAACAAAAATACTCTCCTAGTTTCTAAATTATCTGCTAGGTAGTAATCTGATTATTGGTATTTTTTCCCAGATCATCAGGCAAATGCTATCAATTATACTTTTTTGGTTTTTTTTTTTACCTTTATTGATAAAATTTAACATATGTTCATCAAAATATTTTGAACTACATATTGCAAAATGCAAAATGATTATCACAACAAGGTTAGTTAGTATGTCCACAACTCTGCCCTTGAATGAAGACTAAAATGTTGTTTTTCCTTCAGCTGGTCACACAATGTAATGCGAAATACGTGGAATGCTTCAGTGCTCAGAAAGAGTGCAACAAAGAGAAGAACAGAAACTCATCGGTAGTGCCATGTAAGATCTTAAAATCAGTTTGACTTGGTTGGGTGTGTTAGTATCTTTTCCACTGGAGATTACCGTAGCACTGATACGTAATCGGATACCACCCCGGGGAGGGTGATGCGCAGGACAACAAAGGCCATTTGATCAAACTGGGGAGGGCTGGCTCTCAGTGCCAGCAAGTCACTGCGGCTGCATGACATGAAACCTAGTTTCAGTTCACCTCAAAGTGCAGGAACTAGCTTACTTCTGCCATGCGGTAACTAAAAAAAAAAGTGTTATCCGTTATCACTGTGGCATGAACACGCCTTTAAAACTTGGATTCCCAAGATGAACCTGTACAGTGGTGACTATACCATTGAAGTATTCTGCCTATTGAGACCAAAGCACTGTTGCTAGGTGGTGATCTTTGTATAAATAACTCGGGACACGGGCATAGGCGATCATTGGAGAGACGATCTCTCCTGGGAAACGCCACTGTGTTTTAAGCCCTTCATGGGGAGAGAGAGATGGATAAGGGGATGGCAAAAGAGCGAAGTAAAATATGGTGGTGCGATTGTAGGAATGTGAAACCAGAATAAACTTGATCTGAAACCTGCATCTCTGTACAGAGCATTCGTGATGTGCTGTGAAAACGTCTCCCACAGTAAAATGTTCCTACACCGCCTATGTCCTGGGAATGTGTAGCGCATTTCATTTTACATCCTGCTAAGCTGATAACACTTTAGCTTGGCTAAAAAGAAAGGGGAGCCAGGAGGATGTTACCAGGTAAATTTTAGAACGTGCTGTTGGTTCCATGTGTGTAATAGGCAAATGTGGTGTTTTCTTTTCGCATGTGACAGCTGAGCGCGCTCGAGTGGGCCTTGCACCGTTGCCTGGAATGAAAGGAACAGATTACATTAATGCTTCTTACATCATGGTGAGAGTCAACCATTAATTATAAATAAAGTCAATTAAACTGAAAGGTGCTAAAGAGCAGATACCACCTATGTGATTGATTTCATTTTTCAAAGAATTTCTCAATGTGTAATCAAAATTGGAGAGATTTCCGTGTCTTGGAACCTCTAACAAAAGACCCCTAAGCATTGGGGGTACAAAAACACTTCAACTAAAAAAAGTGCTTGTTAAGGAATTAATTTTATTGTAAATTCTTTAAATGTTGAAATTACCGTTAAGTAAAAACAGCAGGGGCAACTAGAAATGAATTGTACATGGAGAGAAAATTGTCTACACGTGTTAGCAGAAGTGCATTTAAAAATTAGCCAAATGCACTGAATGCCTTTTTTCAATTATTTCAGTACGGTCCAAACAGCGCTACCTTATTTCATGAATATGTTTTACTACTGCAATGTTAGAATAAAATAATCATAATTGTTTGTCTTCCTAACTGAAGGGCTATTACAGGAGCAATGAATTCATTATCACCCAGCATCCTCTGCCACACACTACGAAAGATTTCTGGCGGATGATTTGGGATCACAATGCGCAGATCATTGTCATGCTGCCGGACAACCAGAGCTTGGTGAGTGAAGCACATCTGCTGTATGCTAATGAGCCAGGCGGCCTTAAGCATCACAGGGCTGTGTTGTGTCTGTAGGTGCTAGGGAGGAGCCCAGACCTCTCATCTTTAATCTGCTCCCATTCCTGGTGTAGACTCAGTCACCCTCCCTGCCAGTTCGTTACTTGATTCTCTAATGCTGGTGGTATTGCCCCTCAGTTGCGCTGTGCATGGCAGTGCACAGCAGGTTTTGAAAAAGGTCTTTTTATTAACTTCATTAATGTATGACCTTCACCGACCTCTATAAACAATAATAGCAGCTAACGTTTTGAGAATGTAGCTGTATTTATCACTCCATGTATTTTTTTAACTTATTGGGATGGCACTGGTTATTAACACATTCATTCTCCTCTACAGTTGCATAACAGAGGTACTATTATCTCATTTAATAGCTGGGGAAACTGAGGGAAGTAAGTTGCTCAAGGGCATCCATGAATGAACAGAGTCAAGATTTAATCCTGAGTAGCCTGAGCTCATACTTTCAATCATTTTTGCTGTAGTGTGTGTCCCAGCCACATCATAGAGGTATCTCCCAGCCACCCCCCAAAAAACTGTATAAAAAGTAGTAACACATTGCTTTTCCCTGCCATCGGTAAGGCAGAGCCATTACAGGGAAGGAGAGAAGGAAGGGCTCTCCCATTCCCACTTAAAGGTGTTTAAGAACCTCCCTAAGCTACGACCTCTTTCTCTTCTCTTTAGTCCTTCCCTGTTGAGCTCTCTAAACTACGTAAGAGAAGGGCCAGCAAGTGGGCATAGATAAGCTTAAATGTTGTGCTTAGATCTCTTCCTTTCAGAATTAGTTGGGTTCAGAGGTTACTGTAAGGACATGTGAGCACATGAAGTCTAAACAACACGAGGATCTGCCTCATGAGTGTCGGATGAGTGAGGTTTCGGTCAGGAAAGAACAGTGTGATTGAACCCTGGTCTGGGTGACATGCATTTGACTGGGTGCCCAGTGAGTGGGAACTTCTTCGCTATCGCATTCTGCTCCGGCTTCAGAATACCAAGGCTGCTTCCGCACCATCGAATGGCAACCGAGTTGAGAAGCTGAAAGCCGAGTGTAAATTTTCAAATTAGCTGGCAGTAGGGGTCTGTTCTGTTGGCATGAGGAATTTGGAGGCATGTAGGGCTGTTAAAACGATCATTTGTTGGGTGAATTAGTATTTTATTTTCACTTAACAGAGGACAGTCACCAAAAGCATGTACCCAAAAGCTCACTGTATGGGGAGGCTGGACCAAACGCGAGGACACGTGGTCTGCAGACAGTGAGGATATAGGAACTGCCCTGGGCCACGTCATCTCAGTGTCGCTGAGGCGTAGGGGGGCTGCAGTAGCATCACACTTGTCTGTACTCTCAGCTCCAGGGCCCAAAGTCAGATTCATTTATTGTAGTTTTTCCTAAAAACCACGTCTCTGGCCAGTGGGTCTCAGTGGTTAGGGCATCGGCTGATGCACCAAAGGGCCTTGGGTTCAGTCCCCAGCCCTGGTCAGGGTGTGTGCAGGAGGCACCCAACCTATGTATCTTTATCACATTGATGGTTCTCTTTCTCCCCCCCGCCTTCTACTCTCTCTAAAAATTAGTGTATGTATCTTTCTCACATTGATGGTTCTCTTTCTCCCCCCCCCCCGCCTTCTACTCTCTCTAAAAATTAGTGGGGAGAATATCCTTGGGCGAGGATTAACAACAAAACATTTAAAAATGTTTCTGGACTCCTATTTGTTTATTACTAGTATAACTTTACAAGACCACAATTCTGTGACTAGCCCAAACGTCACTGGCTCCTAATGGAGAAAGCACTGTTAGAGGTGCCTGGACATCTTTGTCACAAAACAAGCATGAGACCAGGGTGCCTACTGAATTAACAAGTAGCATTTGTTTTTCTCCGTCTTTCAAGATGATCCATTATTCCCGTTTACTACCTGTATTCAAAAGTTTCTCTCTGTCCACCTTTCACCATAACTAAATCCCTCTGGCAGCCATTAGACCAACTCCATAATTTACTATTCATGTTGTCCTCATAAAAGTTCTTTGAGATAGGTAGTTTTACTGTTCCCACTTTGCAGCCATGGAATGGAAGGCTCAACTACATTAATTTATTCAGGATCACATCCAACCCTAAATCTTATGCTTAGCCTGTGCATACTGGTTAAATTTAGTGGCCTTGTCCATCATTAATTACCTTGTTTTTAATATCTGCTAAAAGGGCCCGACTTCCATCTCCTTTGGGTGAAGCTTATTGAAACCCTGACAGTTACAGACCTCTTTTGTATAGCCTGAACTCAATCGCTAATCTGCTTCCCCTTATGCTGAGCTTTAAAAATAAAAATGTACTTGGCAATCGCTGTATTGAAACTTGAAAGGGTGATAAGTCTTATTGGACTGTTGGCTCATTTCTAATGCAACATTGTAATATTAAACAAAACCCTCTTTGTTTTGAACACTATTCAGAATTATTTCTGACTTCACTAGCGGTATCTTAGCATTTTCAGGAAAATGCCCAAAGAAAGTTTAGTTTGTCATAGGAACTGATTAGGAAAGGGAGGAGGGCTTATTGTCAAAATCATTGTATTGCTCAGCCTGCAACAATCAACTTTTTTAGGTCTCCATAGTTTTCAAGGATAGAATTCAAGTACGAAGCCTGAATATTTACTTTTAATCTTAAAATAGATGAACATTTTAAAGCTTGCCTGATTCAAGGCTAAAAGGCTTTCTGTGTTATCCCCTTTTGAAACCTAACAGCATGGACTAACTTTTCTTTTAAAGAACACTGTGTACCTACAGCCAAATGCTATGTATGTACAGCCTCTGTCCCTTAACATTTATCAGAGATTTTGGCCAACTCATGGCCCTCTCTGGTGTCCTGTAAAGGCAGATGATAAAAACCCCTTACCTCACCAGTATATTGCAGTCATTAGATAAGATAGATAATGTTATTAAAGTCCTTTGCAAAATGTTAACCAACTGTGAACTATTATTAACATAATCCATAGGAAATGACAATTAGCCTGTCGTAGTTGCTTAAGCAATTATGAATAATAGCTTAGAATTAATTGACCTAAATCCCATCTCCTTTTCCATGACAATTATATTACAGAGCACTTCTCAGCTGCGGCCAATGCATCCTCCATAGATGCATTTTGGTTGTTACAGTGATATAGGTGAGCATTGGTAGAAATGGTTATGATCACGTATGTTTTACGATAGAATACAATAAATAACCAATGAACTCAGCATGATTAGATAAGGATATAATTCTATGAACCTAATTTAAAAGATGAGAGGTACGGCAAACATAAGAAATCATTTTGCAAGAGAAAATTCATACACAAATGTTTGACAGCACTGCAGAGGATTTTATCTGTGTATGTATTTTGGTTCCCACAGGCAGAAGATGAGTTTGTGTACTGGCCAAGTCGAGAAGAATCCATGAACTGTGAGGCCTTTACCGTCACCCTTATCAGCAAAGACAGACTGTGCCTCTCTAACGAAGAACAAATCATCATCCACGACTTTATTCTGGAAGCTACACAGGTAACCTAACCCTCAGTGCTGAGTAATAGCTATATTTGGGCAGATTGGCCTAAGTAACAAGTAACTTACCACCCTCCAGGCAGGTTTAGGCATGTGAGTATGACTTAATTTTAAATATGTATGCTTCCCCTTTTTTCACCTTCCCATAGTTGCCAAACAAAACCAGCTCCTCCGAGTGAGCACATACAAATGAGTCTGTTGACATAATTGGAGCAAACACTATTCTAGCACTCAGTGTTTTCTTTGCCATCAGAAATGGAAAGCTTGCGGTGTGTTGCAGGGATGGTGATGAAAAGACTTTTGGTTACACAGTATTTTGACATGCTGTAACTGCCTTCTTAAGGGGCAGGTAAGAGAGGAGCTGGCTTATGATCTCCTAAGCTCTTCCTCTTTTTTTTTTAATTTTAAAGATGAGAAAAATTGTCACATGAAATTTTTGCCTGAACAAAATAGGATTCTACTGTCTCACTGTCATGAGCTGCTCGCTTTGGTCTTTAGCTGCAAGAAGTGCTTTCTCAGGAGCAGGTTCAGCCACGGATGGTAGAGTGAAATGAACCCTGTGGTCTTGTTGTAGGATGACTACGTCCTGGAAGTCCGGCACTTTCAGTGTCCCAAGTGGCCTAACCCAGACGCCCCCATCAGCAGTACCTTTGAACTTGTCAACGTCATCAAGGAAGAGGCCTTGACAAGGGATGGCCCCACCATTGTCCACGATGAGTATGTATCTGCTTCTTAAGTTTCAAGTTCACACGGTTACCTGTTGCATTGCTCCAGAAGCGAAAGGGAAGACATTTTAGACACCCGTTCCCTCTCAGGGACAATTCTGTGTCATTTCTAACATGTACCTGTGCAGGGTGTTGTGGTCCTGTCTGCACTTTAACGTGTCAAACCCTTCAGGTTCTAGAATTTGTGCTCTAGAAAGGGGCAAGTCCTGTATCTGAGCCCAGAACAATAGATTCACATGCTTTCCAAGGTTTTGTTTCAATAACACAAATCAGTTAAATTACTAATTATCTATGTTTAGATAGTTACCTTTATAACACTCCTACACTGAATTTTCAAAGAAATCTAGGGAAAAAACCTTCTTAAATATGGTTTAGTTGATTAGCAGTAAAGTTAAACTACTAGAATTTACAGTGTGCTTTGAAGTTTAGAGTTGTCTTTGGGATTTTAAAGGTAAAGAATGTAGGTCTCAAAGAGAAGTTGCTCCTGGCTCAGAGATTCTAAGGTACAAGCAGTGCTCAGACCCAGCTCCATCCACTTCACTAAGAGGGAAAGGCCCCAGACAGGCCTCATGGTGTATGGATATCTGGACAAACCTGCGAGTCAGCTGTATAGAACCTCACCAACCTTTAGCCAACATGGCACTAGTTACACATCCTCATCTCTAGTTTAGTTCCCAGGGATCTAGCTTTCTTGGCCAGCAAATTCTCAATGCATCCATCATACTCATTAAATTATCAACTACTTCAATAGCATAGGTATTAGTCAGTTTGAAAATAAAGCTTACGTTGTCCCTCCCCCCGGCTCTTGAATTTATGATATAATTGAAAGGGCACAAAGATTTTTGACCTAGGTCAGCACCTTTACCTCAAATCCAGAGTTCTCTTCTATCTAAAGGAAGCTATTTTACTGGCTGCCTCCTTAGGAAATGGTGACTATTGCAGAACATTGGCCTGACTTAGATTAAGAATTAAGATTAGAAGAGCATTATAGTCCAAACTTCAGTTCGTGTGAAAACCACCAACAGTGTATAAAAACAGCACACAGACAGCCTCAAAATCACTGGGTAGTTGTTGCTGGCTATGAAACTTTAGGGTAGGCAGTGATAAATTTAGGGCTGATTCTAGAAGGTTTTTTCCTCCCACTAAAGTGAATCATTTTTAAATTACTTCTGAGTGTTACCATCTCCTATTAATCCAGGCCAAATCATAATGTTGTAATGTTGCTGCCCAAGTTTTAAGGCTCACTTGGATGGTATAGTAATACTCCAAGGGATTTTGTCCTAAAATCAGTAAAACACTTAATCTTTTAGTTTTATGGTAAGGGAAGGAGAAAAGAAAAAAACACCACCGCCTACTTAAACAGTATTAGCAGAACTGTTTCATTCATTTACTTATATTCAGCTTTTGGGTGTATTACTCAATGATTTTTATTTTATTCCACCTCTGGAATCATCAAAGGTAGCTGTTCTTAGGCCTAAATAAGAAAAGATAAAGTTAACCCTAAACCAATGGGTCTACAAATATATAAGTGATGGGGATGAAAACCACCTAAAGCAGTGTGTTCATTCATTTCTCCATCCACCATCATTAGGTGATAAGCGATTCCACAGAAATTACTTTTCCACATGACTCAGGAACAACATTAAATTTTTAAACAGCTGCTAGCGCTAGTGCAATACTCTGAATGCCAGTTACCTTTCCATACCTATATCCCTTCATGATGGCCTACAAACCCCTATATGTAGCTTATCTGAAACCAAACCTGTCCTCTTCCTGCCAGCCCCATCTACCACCTCTGGTTGCTGCTCCCAGCCCTTCCAGCACAGCACAAATTCTCTCAGTCTGGCCTACTTCCTCTTCCAGCTGCCAGCCCATCCTCCGGCAGGCCACCTTCCCTGCACAGACTCTTTCCTCTGAGCGCCCCTTCATTCAACACACTGTTCAAAACGTCTCACTCATTTCAGAGGTGATCATCAAAATCATTTATAAACATCACATCCTTACCAGAGCCATTCCTATTTATCAGCTACTGTAACTATTTGTCCACATGACTGTTGAGACCAGCAGTGGTAACTTTGTCATCCCAGCCTCCATAGGGTGAAGCCCAGTGCCTGGCACACAGTGGGTACTATGCTTCAGACTGTGAGGACCTACAAAAATTCAAGGTTATGTACCCCGATATGAATTTTCGCCAGAGAGCCTGGCATCTGTTTTTTGTTGCGTTTGTCAATTCTTCTGTGAACAGTGACGCCAATTTACAAAGCATTTTAAGCTCAAAATAAGAAGTGAGCAGACTTGGAGAGAAGACCTGAGTGCTTCCACTGTAAGTCAGAGTTTAGCTCTTAGTGCCCAGATGCCACGACCAGTGTGTTATATTCAAAGAATTATACATCATGAAAAAGTTAGATTGATTCTGGGAATGAAGAGCTGGTTAAATATTACCAAAAAACTCAGTGAATTTAGAACATTACTATTAACGGTATTGCTAAAAAATCAATAGATGTTGCAAAGCAAAATAACACCTTTTTATAATCCCCAGCCCCCAAACAAAAAATCAGCAAACTGCAAGTATAAAGCATCCTCTTTAACTTGATCAGTGTTATTTATCAGAAAAACCTATACCATTTTTATTTAATATTAAAAACTTGGAAGCTTTACCGTTAAAGAATATAGCATGATGTATCCTTGTAGTGCTAGAGTACAAAACTATGTAGGTCCTGACCAACACAGTAAAGCAAAATACTTAAGGGTTGAAAAGAGGCAAAACTGGCATTACTAGCAGATAAAGATGTAGCCAACCTAGAGAAACAGTTCACAGATAATTAGATCTTAAAGAGAATTCTGCCGTGTGGCCAGATACAAGTTCACCATGTGAAAATCAACTTTATCCACTGAAACCAAACAAAAGCCGTGAGTCCATTCTTAGTAACAAACTCTAAAACACTAGGAGTTAACCCAGAATGAAATTAGCCAAAACTATGAAGAAAACTATAAATTCTAATTGAAAGCATTAAAAAATATGCTGGAGCAATTAGTTACCCATGGGAAAAATAATTAAAATCAGACCTTACCTTACACCAGCGGTTCTCAACCTGTGGGTCGCAACCCCTTTGGCGGTCGAATGACCCTTTCACAGGGCTTGCCTAAGACCATCCTGCATATCAGATATTTACATTACGATTCATAACAGTAGCACAATTACAGTTATGAAGTAGCAACAAAAATAATTTTATGGTTGGGGGTCACAACATGAGGGACTGTATTTAAAGGGCCAGAAGGATGAGAACCTTACACCAAAACCAGAATAAAATTCAGATGAATTCATAAAATGTGAAAACAATGTAAAATACTGGACTAGAGAAAGCATTCTCAAACAAGATTCCAAAAAAGCCAAAAATGAGAATTTGATCAACTTGATAACATCTAAACTTCATTACGACGTAAACAACCACAAACAATGTGAACAGAAACTAAAGATTGGAAAAAAATACTTGCAACATGTGCCATAGGTAATATAAAATAACTTCTATGAATCTATTTGAAAGAGACAAACCTATTAGAGAAATGTCCAAAGTATATTAATAGTTTCCAAAGAGGAAATATAGATTGTCAATAATCAAAAAGATATTCAACTTCCCTGATAAGAAATACAAATTAAAACAATAGTAAGTTTTTCACCCACCAGATTGGCAAAAGAAGTGAACTTTAAATTGATGAGGAAAGCCCTGGCTGGTGTTGCTCAGTGGTTACAGCGTAGGCCCGCACATCAAAGGGTCATATTCCTGGTCAAGGGCATGTGCCTGGGTTGCAAGTTCGACCCCCAGCTGGTGGGTGGGTATGGGAGGCAACCAATTGATGTGTCTCTCTCACATCGATGTTTTTCTCTCTTTCTTCCCCCACTCCTCCCTTCCATTCTAACTGGGTGAGGATTAACCAAAAAATAAATACATAAATTAAATGATGAGGAAAAACCAAATATTCTCATGCTGGGAGAAGTGTAAACAAGTAACAACCACTTGGGAGAGAAATTGGCAATATCTTGAAAACGGAAACAGGCATACCTGTGACCCAGCTCTTCTCCACATGGCTCCTCTTCTGATGCACGCAAGATACACATGTAACCTAAATGTCCGTCCTTGCGCGATGAGTGAGTCTGGTACGCCTGTAGCAGGTGAAAGAATGAGCTGGTTGAAATGCACTGACATACTGACATCCGGAAGGCTGCATCCAAAATTGCAACCGTTTTTTTTTTTTTTTTTTAATCTGTGGATCCTTTACCTCTAAAGTTGGAGTGATTAAAGATGTAAAAATCTGTAATGTTTTCATTTCATGTAAGAATAATGCAGAAACTGCATACTTAATAGTTTTTAACAGAACAGTACACACAGGGCATCTAAGTTCTAGTCTCATTTGTACCAGAAACACCACCTTGAACAATAGTACTTAATCCTCTGTTTGCTCATCATTCGTGTGGAAACTGCATCACAGTTCATAGGAAAATGGAGCTGCCGGCCTGGGGAAAAGTCTCCTTCTCCCAAGACTTTTTTAAGCAAAGAGAACCATATTTTTCAAAGAATTTTACAGAAGATGCCATCATTTAGAAAGCTTTGTGCCCAAAATACTGAACATGGAACTCGTTTTGAGAATTCTCTGATTGCATCTGAGCATTGTATGTCCATGTTTATTCACATTTTGTAAGTTCAATTTAGCTGTTTGGGATTGTTCAAAAAACACACACACTTGTAGAGCCTTTCACCTTTCTACTTGTTCAATGGCTTACAGTTAAAGTTCTGATATCATTGTTCCGACCATATTATCTAACCCGTCCAGGCATCAGATCTTCTGTCTCTCTCCAAAGTCTAATTTTGAACTTCTCCTTTCATCTTAAACATCAAGCTAAGTATCTGATAAAGCCAGTTTGGGAGGTTTTACACTCATAGAGCAATGTCATCTTTATCCCAGGTTTAGCCTCTAAATCTCTCCCCGTCCAGTATTTCATTCATTTTTGTGTTTTAGCGGAAGTGTCAATACAGCCTACTTAGCTTCTGTGAAAATATGCAAGGGTCATGCCAGCCCCTTAGTAGATCTGAACTGGCATTTTCTTTCTTCCCGAGGTATGGAGCGGTTTCAGCGGGAATGCTGTGTGCCCTCACCACCCTGTCCCAGCAACTAGAGAATGAAAACGCCGTGGATGTTTTCCAGGTTGCAAAAATGATCAATCTTATGAGGCCTGGAGTTTTCACAGACATTGTAAGTACTCTGCTTATTCATGAAGACTATACAACATCAGTCAGAACTCAGGCTGCGGAGCAGTGGTTCCCAGCTGGGGGTGATTTGGCCCCCCTCCCCATCCCCAGGGGACATTTGGCAACGTCGAGAGACTCTTTTGGTTGTTTCAACTGGAGTTGGAGAGAAGTGCTCTGGCGTCCAGTGAGTCCAGGGATGCTGCTGAGCATCCTGCAGTGAATAAGCAGACCTCCAAAACAAAGAGTCGTCTGGGTGGAGAAACTCTGCTCTCTAGGGCAGTGATGGCGAACCTTTTGAGCTCGGCGTGTCGGCATTTTGAAAAACCCTAACTTAACTCTGGTGCCGTGTCACATATAGACATTTTTTGATATTTGCAACCATAGTAAAACAAAGACTTATATTTTTGATATTTATTTTATATATTTAAATGCCATTTAACAAAGAAAAATCAACCAAAAAAAATGAGTTCGCGTGTCACCTCTGACACGCGTGTCATAGGTTCGCCATCACTGCTCTAGGGTATAGGGTTCCCTAGTTACAACAGGCGGATATCCTGTTACCTTAATGGACTCTCGACAGTGGGAGGTAGTTCCAAGCTAGCAGAAACCTAAAGGATGTGAAGAAAGCGCGTGTCTTGGTTGTAAAGGATTCATGTGATTTTTGCAGGCAGCATAAACGTCCATTCCTGTTTCTCTCGTATGCTTTCCACTTACATTTCTAATTAGTATCCCTGCCTTAGATGAAAGGACTCGGCTGCCCTCTGGCTCACGCCGCCTTCCTCTTGTTTTTCAGGAACAATACCAGTTTGTCTATAAAGCAATGCTCAGCCTGGTCAGCACGAAAGAAAACGGAAACGGGCCCATGGCAGTGGACAAAAATGGTGCTGTTCTCATTGCGGACGAGTCGGACCCTGCCGAGAGCATGGAATCTCTGGTGTGACTGCGACCTGCCAGGCGCCTAATTTGTAAAACTTCTGAAGACTGAGAACTTTTTTGAGGCCTTTTTTGCCAGACTCTAGGTTATACAATAACCCAGTTACTTTTTTACACTGATAAAAGTTTTGATATTTATTTTTTGCCATTTTATGTCTTAATGGTATCCTACTGAGCATCTGCACCTCTGTTCACCCCCCACCCCCCGTGAAACGCAATTCGACCTAGTTTGCACTATCTGATCAGTGTTACTGCCTATAACCTAATACTAAAGCAAGCCCTGGTGTGACATTCCGTAACAACATACGCGCTACTTTTTTAGTTCAGTACAGTGAAGGTCTTTGTTATGACAGTGAATCTTGGTTCTCTTATTATTCTTGCTAAAGCAGTGACATTCTACTAGCAGGCAATGCTGTGTTTTTCCTCAGCCCTCTTCTGCTATTTTTTTTTTTTTAGACATTGTTCAATGCTGTATGCCTTCTATATTTTAGCGGACGAGCATTGTTTTCTTTTAAAGAATAGTAGGTTGTTGGGAGCTACTGAGAAGGTCGGTCAACCTCATGGCCTTGAAACAGTTCCATGTATGATGGGGAAGACATCCATTAAGAAATTAGAAGGTTTCAAAGTTGCTTCATGTGAACATCACCTGTTAGTTACAAACGTATATTCATAGCTGAAAAATGCCCAACTGTGTCAAAATAAAGGATCTCTCTGAATTACGGTTTTCACAGTAGCTATGTGGACAGTGTGTGTTATTTCCATCTGACTCTGAAATAGCTCCACCCTAAAAGCAGGACTACCTTTTACAAGAGAGAGATGGCAATATTTTACACAGCTCAGCTAAGAAACCCTTTAGTGACTCTCCACTAATGTTCCATGGTTTGTAATACCATACCTCACGGCAGGTGGAATATGAAAATTTTTGTAGGTGTGTAATTTTGAAACTAGTCCTCTAAAATTCCTATTACTCGGATCGCAATCTAATAAAAACTACCTATCTAGTTAACATTCTTTTCTTTCCTTTGTTTGCCAAACGTTTCATAAAGCTCATAATTACATACATTCTTCTACTTAGGATTAGAATGAAAATACTGTATTAGCAAAAGTCTAGGACCATCTAGACTCCCACATGTGGGCAAATCACATTTGGAGAGAGGAAAATAGAATCTTGGAAAAAACGTGATATCTACAATTTCAAATAGCTTTTAAGAGAGAGAGACGGCTTTGTATGTTTGGTGTAGTTTAGCCTCAAGAACAGACATACTTCAGTAAAAGAGGCTGATGATCATCACAGAGAGCCAGGCCTAGCCCCTGGAGCCACGTTCACCCCGCTGTACATAATGGGAAAATTAGGAACGTTATGAGGAATTTCAGTTCCGTTAGAAAAATATAACCTACCTACTGAGGTCTGTTTCTCCTAGTGCTTGTTTGCTTTCGAGGGACAACTTCTGTCAGGAGTGAAATCACCGCCAGAACTGGACCTGTTAAGAAAATAAAATGGTTTTGATTATTTCTTATGTCTGTAAACTTCAACAAAAAGTCCCCACTGGCTATTTTACTATCTTGGTAGGCGTTAGAATAATAATGATCATCAGCACTGAGGTCCTATTTCTCTTGCACTGGCTTTCCGTGAAGTTTGTCAGAACCGTGCTGAAGGGCCAAAGCCACTAAGCAGAGAGAGGCCACAGGCCACGCCCCGGAGTTCTTACGCATAGGCCCAGTCAATGGAGTCCTCATGAACTACGTAATTTCCGGGGCTAGGTTAATCTCATCTATCATGGATTCAGCAACACAGAATATTCCTTGAGAAAAGATGTGAAAATGAGCAAAGTTTGCTAACTGTGAATGTGCTAGATGATTAAGACACCTTTACAGTCCCCCCGCTCCCATCAGAGGTGATAGAAGGAAGCTCTGCCTAACACTCAAGAATAAAGCTTCAACACTGAAGCACTACAACTGCCAGAAGGCCACAGAATCGGGAAGGGAAAGGTTTCAGATTCCGACCTAGATCGTTGTAGTCCATTAGGTAGGTTACTTTGGCTGTATAGAGTACTGACATGAGTTAACTACAGTAGTTGGCACAGTGGACTTGACTTTCAGAAGTAATGCTCAAGTTGGGGTTCATGATCCCTCAGTAATTTTTTTCCTAATATAAAAGGAAACATTGGTTAGGAGACACACCGCAAGTATTCCCTTCTGTGCTATTTACAGAGGTCTCAATTCATGGGACTGCACACCCTCCAACACAGTTCTGTGACCCTCTCTTCTATGGCCATCAGAATCATGATAAAAGAGAGAGCTAGGAAATAGAACAGAAACATTGCCAGGATGGTTTAGAAGTTCTCTGTGAGCCAGCTGTTTGTTTACAGCGGGCTTGAACCACAGTCTACAAATCCTGACCCACTGAGCCATGAGCAATTGCTATGTGCCCATCTTGCCAAAGCGATCCAAGCCTCCTTCACTGAGGACAGTGAAGCGCAGCAGTCCCTCCCTTCCCCACCGAGTGTACCCGCCTATTCTTCCTTTGTTTTTGGCGGAGGCATGCTTGCAGCTTTTCCGGGGCAGAGCTTCAAAGATGGCATTTTCTTTGAAACATAAGCACATGGCTTAGCAAGGTTATCACCACTGCACTCGGGGAAAGGAAATAGCTTTTGCAAATTAATGTGTGCTATTTCATAAAACAAGCGCACTGGGTATATGACTTTAGCTCTAGGTAAACAGAATGTGCACATCATACAAAACTGAATTGCACTGACCAGGCCAAGCGGCCGTGCTGGACATGAGAGAAAAGACACCTTATTTCCATCAGGAGAACTCTCTTGCATCCAAAAGCCACACTATCTTTTTTATATACAAAAAAGTTAACGTCTGAATTTCAGGAAGAATCAGATCAGTTGACTTGGTTTTCTGAATTTTTGTTCAGTGGAGCTTTTAGTCTATTTCAAGTTGGAGAGTCCAGCAAGGTCAGAGAAGGTAATGGTATTCAAGGGAGTTTTTAGCCCAGAGTGACATATTTAAATCAACTAACCTTAATTATTTCCTAATGACACAGCACAACTGCCTTGTTATGAATTTTTTCTTGAATGCTTATATACTGTATTTAAAAATTAAAATATAGTACCAATTTACCAAAGATACATAGTACTGATTCAAAGCAAAAATAAAAAATAAAGAAACCCAAACTCATCATAATTTAAGAAATAATAATAAAAATGTAGTTTGTCTTAAGAATTTAGCAGTTATACTGGAAAATGCATTTCAACTCCTTATGTTCCAAAGTTTATGTTCCAATGGTGTCAGTGAATTTTTATATGAAGGGAAATGCCTGCTTTTTTTTTTTAACAGCTGTAATTTCACTTACCCCTTTGCACTTCCCCTGAACATCTTGCCATTTAACATCCAATATTGGCTTTACTTATCTCTAGAAAGAAGGCATGCTACAAATAGGAAGGAATTGTAATAATGATATTTGGCCTCTACTTTGTCTTAGCTGTTAAACTGTTTTTAGTATTTTTGTTAAATATTTGCAAAGGGAAGAATTTTCTACAGAGGATAATTAATTTCAAGAAAAATATCTTGAGTTTTAAGAAATAAACATCTCCAGAAAAGGAGACAGCCGATTTTATAAAATGTAGCAACTCTCCAACATTTGGGGTAGTGACTCTTTTGTTAAGACATTTGAAACTAGCAAGCAGCCATTGTTTCTAAAAACTAAAAACAAACAAAAAAAATCACTTAGCCTTCATGTTGATTCGTGTTTCTTTCACTTCATTTTGAAATAGCTAAAATCATTAAGACTGTAAATATTTTGTTGCTTGAATAAGCATCTTCTGGGAACTTTGTATCTATGGTATATAATCATAGAATTTTATATTTTCATATAAAGCTAATTTTTTTCTAGTTTCAACTCCGTCATAGTTTTGTTTTTGATTTTTGTTTTTGGGGGGTTTTTTTTGTGTGGTGGATATGTGAATTCAATTTTCTGTGTATTGAAGTAGCAAGAGCCATCTTTGCATTCCAAAAGAATCCAACACGTGTTATTTCTTTGAGGCAGTGGTTGTGAGAGTTGGGTTTTCTTTTTTAATCCCATTCACCATTTGTGCAATAGGAATTAGACATAGTCACTGAAGACATTTGCTGCATTGGCCCATTTGGAAAAAGTGTTTTGGGGTTTTTTTAATTTGTTCCGGGGGAGGGGTTTTGTAACCTGAAATTTTTCCCTTTTACCTTCTGTTTAAAACTATATCAAATCATTCTATTATAGTGTTATTTAATATGTAAATTGTATTGCTATACATAAAATAAAGTATGGTTTTTGATGTATTCATTAGTGATGAGCATTTCATGAAAATATCTCTATCAAAAAATCGGGTTGCTAGTCTCCCTTAACAAATCCCACTTACACCCTCTGACCCTTCATCTTAGTTTGCATGTTAGTACAATGAATATTTGGAGTCATCTTCACACAGCCAGAAAGCCAAAAGTAAGTGTCATTTCTGAGTTTTTCCTCCTTTAAAGACTACACAATGACAAAGTTTTAGCTGCATAATGAATTAAACTGTTTTCACTTTATGAGTCTGCTAAGAATTACTATTTCCCCAAGTGTATCGACTACAGTTGCAGCAACTTCTCCCTCTTAATATTTACTGTGAGGATGAAGACTGGAAAGACTTCGAGAATCTGAAATATATAGGATCAGTACAATTGCTTCTACTTAGAAGGAATTTTGACATTTCCAAATAGAGGGACCCGAAACTGGCAGCTTTAAGCCACCATTCCTTTTTAACCTTAGGTGGCCCCACATTCAGGAATTCAACTCTTAATGCCACAGTTCCAATTTCCCTCTCCATAGAGATTAAAGAGCTGATACTTCATTCTCCCTAAGTATTAGAACTTAAGAAATATTGTGCTAATAGTTTCCAGTGCTAGCTGGAAGAAAGACCAATTTCAGCACACACAAAAAATGAATTTCTGATGATATAACCCTAGTCTTCCTCAAATTACACTCATTGGGACCCTGTATGTGCTGAAACTGGAGTAACAGCTGGAGAGGAGGAGTAGTTGGTTGCCTTTTTCAGGTGAGGCACGTACTCTCCAGTTCACCAGAGTCTGCATCTCTTCCATCACCTGTGTCTGCCCAACATCAGTCGTTTAAACCTGCTTAGATCCTGTGAGCAGTCACATAAGAATTCTGAGACCATTCTCCATCTCAGCTGGTTTTCCAAGCAGCATGGGGTGAACGGGGTTACCACCTGCCTAATTACTTCTTTAAAATATATATATTTGATTTCAGAGAGGGAGAGACAGAAACATTGATGAGAGAGAATCATTGGCTGCCTCCGACATGCCCCACACTGGTGATCTAGTGTGCCCTGACCAGGAATCAAATCATGACCTGGTTCATAGGTCAGTGCTCAACCACTATTACTTGTAAGTCCACCCAAGATGGTTCCATGAAGCAGCAGCTCTGACTGTTCAAAATAACTGACAAATCAATTCTCTACTCCATGGCTTTTTCTGTCCAGAATATAACCCTAGACTAGGAAGCTTCATTTCTGCTACCAAGAATGGGGCAAAGAAACAAGAGTGCAAAGAGCGACTAACCCAGGGGTGGGCAAACTTTTTGACTCGAGGGCCACAATGGGTTCTTAAACTGGACCAGAGAGCCGGAACAAAAGCATGGATGGAGTGTTTGTGTGAACTAATATAAATTCAAAGTAAACATCATTACATAAAAGGGCACGGTCTTTTTTTTTTTTTTTTCGTTTCATTCATTTCAAACGGGCCGGATCTGGCCCGCAGGCTGTAGTTTGCCCACGGCTGCACTAACCCAAAACTCCATTTTCTGACAGTGAATTTAGACCAGCTGTGGGCAAACTACAGCCCTCAGCCGAATCCGGCCCGTTTGAAATGAATAAAAAAAAAAAAAAAAAAAAAAAAAGACCGTACCCTTTTATGTAATGATGTTTACTTTGAATTTATATTAGTTCACACAAACACTCCATC